TGCAGGACACGAAAAAAAAAAAAAATCATCTTAGGCTGGATGGTTAGCTCAGTTGGTTACAGTATGGTCCTGATAACACCAAGGTCCAGGATTCCATCCCTGTACTGGCCAAGTGCCAAAAAAAAAATCATCTTAGAGTTTTGAATTTGTTTTTTTTTTTTTTTTTTGTCTTTTGTCTTTTTTTCCGTGTCCGGCAGTGGATCGCAACCCTCAGTGTTGCCCCCGTACCGGACCGGGGACCGGCAACGGGATCGCAACCCTCGGCGCTGCCCCCGCGCCTCGCCCAGCCAGTGAGCGGGAACCGGTCTGTATGTGGGATCCGAACCCTCGGGCGGGAGCGCCGCCACGCTTCCCAAGCAGCGCACTATCCAGTGCGCCACTGGGCCGGCCCCCAGACTGGAGTTTCTACACAACTCAGGGGCACCGGACTTCACTAGACCCAGGAGTACCTATAAAGTCAACCATTAAAACTTGAGCTGCACAAAAAGCCTTCCCCAGGAATCAGCAGCAAAGCAACAATTTAGCTCACCCACAGGGCTCAAGTGCTGGTCCCCACAGCAAGTTCCCCCATTTTAGAAGTAAGCAAAGGATGACAAATTAGTTCCAGCGCAGAGTTTAAGTGTTGAAAACAGCAAATAATCCAACACAGAATTGAAAGAAAACCCACAGACCAGAGACAAAATTTGATGTAAAGGTCTCACTTCACCAAAGAACACCTATAAAACCTAGGAGGACAGAAGCCCTGTGGATCCCCAAGCCAGGAAGTAGGGAAGTCCGGGGGCCACAGCCATGCCCCCCAACACCCACAACCAGCCTAGCAACAGCCACCGAGCCTCTACAGGAAGCACCCCAGCCTTCCAAGCGGGGCAATGGGGGGCCGAAGTCTTCAGCCACACCCCCCTGACATCTGCATTCAGCCCAGCAATGACCAAGCCACCATTGGAAGCCCCCTAGACTCCCCTGCAGGAACGAGAGCGGTGCCACGAGTCTCAACTATGCCCACTTCCTCCTCTCACCCTATTTCCTTCCCCCTTCCCCACCCAACCACTCTGCAACAACATCTTAGAATGTGAAAACAGATGGAACTAGGGACTGACCCCTCCTCCCGCAACCAGGCACACTGCCACTGCCATGGGGCCCACCCAGGGTCCCAAGTTCTGGAGCCAGGAACCGACCCCTCCTTCCACAACCAAGCAAGGAGCACACCAAAAACACCACTTCGTGTGACCACAGCCACCAGAATAGCCACGGCTGCCGCAAAAGCAGCTAGATACTACAACCACCATCCAGATGGCCTGCCAGCCACTCAAGTGCATTGACACAAGGAGAGTCACCACCACAGACCAAAGAAAAGAAGAGGATGTCTCTCTGCGCAAGCCCATTCCAGAGTGACAGAAGAAGCATCTACTCTACTATAATAGTGGGGGCCCTGAACACACCTCTCTCAGCTCTGGACAAATCATCTAGGGAACAAATCAACAGAGTAACCATTACTCTTTCAGAAGGTGAGAAGAAATCTAGGGTTATTAGAGGTGGGAGGGGGGACAGAAAGGGGGATGGGGACATTGGATAAGGGGCATAAAGAATAAGTACAATTCGTAATAATATATATGCTAATAATATTGATTTGATCAACATACATCAATGCTGAACCCCCAAAATAAGTATAATCAATTATGATTCAATAAAATTAAAAAAAAACAGATTTGTGTGTGGAATATACTATAAAGCAAATGTACCTCACAGGGCCTGGTTTTCCATAGCTTTGCAGTTTCAAATATTGACCTTGTGGAGGACTGGAAATTTTCCTCAGGTTATAAAGTCTCTGGTGTCAGATAAAGATCTGTGGCACAGCAAGGTTGCTGGCTCATAGATACTGAGAAATTGCTGTAAGATCACTTAATTGTCTAATGGAATGTCACCTGACTTGTTTCACTGAAAGTTACCAGCCTATATTGTTAAACTATAACCCCACCTATGTCTCTTCCTGTAACTTCCTGGTCTGGAAAAATAAATGCAGGAAGAGAACCCCAATTTGGGGTTAATTTCCCAGGGAAGCGATGCCTCTTGCTTGAGCGTTCCTAAGGGAAGTTAACTGCTTCGGGGTCTCTCACTGCTCAGAAGAGATGGGCTTTGAGTAATCTTTTGCGTCTCCGTCACCCAGGGGAAGTGGGGTGACAAATCCGTGGGGGGGCAAAGCAACACAAAGCAACATTTGTGATATTTACCTCTGTGTGGTAAGATTTCAGGTACCCGATTTTTTCACTCATTCATTGATTCATTCATTCAGGCTTGTCAAGTGAAGCAGTGGGAGTGGAGAAGGAACAAACCAATTTTTTTTTCTTATTGGAGTTTTCTAATTTTTCTATAATGGTTACATGTACTTGCACAACTGATAAACAAAAACAATCAACAAAGGTCTGAGCTCTCTAAAAGAGGATATTCTT